ATTTGGGAACTGAACAAAAAGAATCAAGTTCTCTTACATCTCTAGTATGACTCCAGATGAGTCAGCTAAATTATGTGTCTATGCCACTGGCTAATCTCTGAATGTAAAAGGACATGCAGTTTATCCACATTAAATGAGCAACCTTCCTTGACATAGTTAAGGCTAGAGGACTTGGCTGTACTAAATAAAGGACTGAGAAAATATTTGCAGATGATGTGTCACCAGGAAGGTACAAGATACCATAAAGGAATGACCCATATAATTAAATTGTAGTATCAGGGGGTATCTGTGTTGAAACGTAACACCACATTGACTCTTGAAAGCTGTTACTACAGCCTTAACCTTGAGAGATGCTATTTAGTTACTATATTAATCTAAAACATATTCTTCTTTACAGAGTTTCTGTGTATGAGGGGAAACAGGTCATGGTCGACTCTGGACCAATCTATGATATGACCTTTGCTGGTGGAAGATTAGGCCTTTTTGTCTTCTCTCAAGAAATGGTCTACTTCTCTGACCTCAAATATGAATGCAAAGGTTAGTTACAGAATTACCTGGAAAGGGCCAGTGTATGAATATGTATGCAGCAGGGCAGAAAGACAGTAATGAAATGTATCCTCCAATTATTGAATAGAATCCTTAGTCTGCCAGTCATTTTGGAATAATCTAATCACTTCTTAATTTTCAATAAAAAGGAAGAAGTTTATCTATTCATGTCTTGGAAAAAAGGAGAGCTTTAAAAAGGCCAGATTTAAAGCACAGAACTCCTTGCAGGCTACATCTAGACCCAGCCTCAGTAGTGGGTTGAGTAGGGTTACCATATATCTGGGTTTTTCTGGACATGTCCTCTTTTTTGGTCCTTCTATCTCCGTCTGGGAGGTTTTCTGAAATATCTGAAAATGTCTGGGATTTTGCTGTGTCTCCGCTTTCCTGGCATTTACTGGCTTACCCCAGCAAGGAGCTGCTTGAGGCTGGGGAGAGCAGGGGAAGGCAATTGGAGGCATCACATGCCTCTGCATGGCCTGGCAGCTGCAGGCACATAACTCTGTGGGGAGCAGGGCTTGGAAGGCCAGGGCTGGGGACTGTCCATGTGTGTGTGCACGTGTGTGTCTGTGGATTGGTGTACAAGGGGGATGGGTGCCTGGCAGCACTGGGGCTGCAGTAGGGCAGGAAGGTGCGGGGGGAAAAGGGTCCTTTGAGGGCAACAGGGAGCTGTATGGGCAGCAGGGCTGGGGGACAGGGGTCTGCAGGTCAGAAGTGAGGGGCAGCAGCAGGGTGTGGGGGTGGGGGCTGTGGCTTGGGAGTGAGGGGCAGGGGCAGGAGCAGGACATGGGCATATCCCTCCCCCCCTCCCCCACCACACACAGGTGTCCTCTTTTTTGAAACTGGAAATATGGTAACCCTAGGGTTGAGTGGCAGCAATGGTGGGGCATGGCACAGGGGTCAACACAGCCATCACTTGCTTCTCCTGTCACTGGGGCTGTGGCTGGGATTTCTGCTAGCTCTGCCCCCAGATTCCTGCTTTTTTATATATCCTCACAGTGAAATGGCTCCTCAGTCTGGATGTGGCCTACTGGCACCTTTGACATACCTCATTTAAAATAATGTGTGGATATCCAGTATCTACCAGATATTAGATATTATATTAGTGTGTTACAGGCATATGCAGAGTTATGAATATCCCCTCTTTAAGGAGACATTACAGGTGCAGTAGATAGTTTGAATGATTATTTTTATGCATCATGCATCCTCCAGAAATTTTTAAAATATAAAAATCATTTATAGATTATCATTTTATTATATTTTCACATTTATAATTAAACAAACTCAAGACAGGAAAAGGCATATTGTAACGCTAGGTTGCTTTCCCTTACTATTTCACATGTACTTTATTCCATATCAAATATGATAGAACACTAATTCATATCTATTTTTCTCTTCTATTTTAGATTTCTAAAAAATGGGTGTTATGTTACCAGCAAAGTACTGTAGATGCTGTGCAACCTAGACACCTCAGCACATTCTGGTACTCCCAATTTCTGTCTTTGTGTACCTCCTCTTCCTCTGGCCTTCTGTTCAACCAACCTTATACCTCCTGGTTGCCAGGCATGGCTCAGCCAGTCCTAGACCAAAGTGCCTTCTCAGTACTAAGACTCATGGGACCTAAATGTGAGCGTCCAACCCACCACTGAAGCAAAAGCAGATTGATACATTAGGACATTTTGGTAGGGTGAAAACTTAGCAAGACTTGTTTGTTTGTTTATTTTTTAAAAAAGGAATGACGTTTACATATAAAGTGTAATTACTTGATGTATTTATATATATATGGAGGAAAGGGAGATAATGAATATCATCCATTGTCTTCAAATAAGGAAAAAAGTGTTAAAACCACTTTTTATATGTAGGGTTGACACTTTGCTTGCTCTGATCAGGGCTTGACTTCACTAACACACAGCCTCTGAGCCTAATTTCAGCAAAATAACAAAGGGACCAAACCGAGAACGTCTATTCTAATAATGAAGAAGCCATTGGAGAATAAGATGAAGGCCATATATGAAGATGGCTTGATGCGAAAAGATGTTCTTCAGAGGATAAGGATGCCTTAAGTCAGTGGCATGCAACTCATACAGCCCACTGCACAGAGCCAGGTCCACATCATCAGGCCCATGGAACTGCTCAGGGGTCTGGATATTTGGTGTTAGGATGAGTGGTGGCAACATTAATTGCTGTGGCTCTAGGAGCCACAGCAATTAATGCTGCCACTGCTCCATACTGCCATATTTCTAGACTTTTAGGAAACCCCACGGGTCAGATGGCATGGACCAGATATGGCCTATGGGCAGTATCTTGGTCACCTCTGCTTTAACTAACATCTTTTAAGATTATAGATGGTAGAAACATCATATTTGTAGTTCAAAGTAATGTTGGCCTTGAATAACAATACATGTTTTATGTATGGGTTCAGTCAGGACAAACTTGAGCTAGAATTCAAATTCCAGTGTAACAAAGAAGAACAATTCAAATAAGCTCTTAAAGGCATCACCACTGTCAACATGGCTTTCTCAAAACAGTTTCTAGTTGGCCAGTGCCATCTTGCTTTTCATAATAAAAATATTTTATGACATCTGGAATAAATTGAACCTGAATAACTTTCCCACCTCTGCTGCAAAAAGCACTTTGACATCCTAAATCCTCATCTGGGTTTTTGAAAAGGTGGCAACATTAGTGTTACCAAATTTGGGAACATATGAAATTAAGGTTCCAGTTATACATATTTTGTTAATCCTTATTATAGGTATCACATGCAGCTGCCTTATCTGATAATTTATTTTAAAGCATGCCATGCAATGTGTTAGTAGTACTTTAGCGAATGATGCTAAAAGAAGCTGTTTAGAGCACATATCACCATATGTAGATATTGCAAAAGCAATGTATTCATTTTTAAATACATCATTTTATGAGGTTATAATCAAGCATGATCTCCTGATTAAATGAATAATAATGAATAAATTATAAATGGAACCTTAATATGCATACTGTTACCTTAATTTACAGTGTTACATATTGTTACCCATGTCTGCTGTATATAGAACTTTTTAAATAATACTGAAGGCGTACCAGTGTTTATTTTAAGCAGATACAACAGTTACTTATCTATACAATAGTATAAACATGTTTAACACTTTTGTTTGTTTAAGTTGTATGAGCTTTGTTCAAAAACAAACACTTGATGGTGTAATTTTATTCATACATGGGGTTTACTAAAAGCACCATACCATATTTCTGCCATTATTGTAAGGCACTGTGACATAAATGCTGACTCAGTTTTTAATTCCCTTTTGAGTAGATTTTATTGCTATATTCATTAGAGAGAATCCACAATTTCTGGCTTTATTGCACATTTTATAGTGTTCATTTCAACAGTATTTTAAAAAATCCTCCCTGTGAGGCTTTTGAGTTTGTTGCAGTTCATACTTTTGGTGTTTCAAATTGTATCTCCAAATCCCAGTGAGAATGTTGGGGGGAGAATTCATTAAATGAAATGACTGTAATGGCTGTGTAGGGTTCTTTGTTTTTGTCTTGTTTTGCCAAAGTGAGACATCAGTGTGTGGAAAAAGATGTTAATATTTAGATTGTACCATAATTTTCCGATTCTATATAAATTATTTATGATGTTTTTCCTTTTTTCTTTTTCTCTTTTATTTTCCTTTGTGAGCACATGTGTGAGAGAGAACCGGAGATCAATGCAATTCCACTTTGTGTTGCCAAAGATTGTAAATAATTATTTATTTGTTTACACAGACAAAATTTAACCAGTTAACATCCTGATTCATTTAGTCAGTTACCCAGCTTCTATATATATATATAATTATATATAATATATATATAATTATATATAATATATATATATTTTAACAACTAATGATAGGAAATAAACTGTAAAAAGGTTTTACATAAAAATATCTCTTTACCTTTTTTATAGTTAAATGTTTCTTTTTTAAAAAGTACCATGCCCTGAAGCTCTTGGTTACCTATACAAGCCTGTTGCTTGGTTACAAATCATTTTAAACAAACCTGTTGCTTGGTTACAAATCATTTAATGTCTTTCAAGGATGTAAACAGTAGGTTTCCTGGTGTCATTGACATGAAACACAATTCCATGTAAACCTCTTCGTCTCCTGTTACGCCACCCAATGTTGTTTTATTTATGTTACTATAATTGAGAAATTCATGACTGCTTCTTGTCATTGTCAAACAGATACATTTTTCTGCATTGGATCTTGGCTTACATGGTTGGACACACATGTAGCCTGATCCCATAATTGTAACTCTCCTGAGTCCCAATTAAGTCAGTGGGAGATAACCATGTGAATAAGGGCTGCTGTCTTCATGATTAAGGACTTGGAAAATGAATGCTTAGTAGTGATTTAAGCAGAATGGGAAACGACAAGAGATTCTCAGAACAACTAGGAGAATCTTGCCAGCATTATGTGTTGCATTCATGTGTAGAAGGGGTAGCTGAGATGGCTTAGGAAAAACAAAACACAGATCAGGCTAAAACTCCTAGTTTTGAGGAATAAACTTGAGCCCTCCTTTAAATTGCTGAATAAGGTCTGACATATATCCATATTTCAGGGCTTCAGTAGACTGGAAGCGACAGGTTGTTTTGATAGCCTATATTATGTGGCATCCACAACAAAAAACATGTACATAAGAAAGTCATTTACTCTTGTTATAAGACACAACCCATACTGATTCCAATCTTCAGTCATTTTGGGAGCTATGTATCCACTATTTGTACTGCAGGGACAAAGATGGTAAAGATTGTAATTCTGTGCCCAACAAACTGATGGAAATAAATAAGTCTGCAAACAACAACACAGCACAAGTATTGGGGCTCAGAAGAGAAAAGAGAAGAAAATAGGCTGATAAGCAGGCACTTAAATGAATAAATCAGTCTGCATAATAAAACAATCACATTCTCTGATTCTTGTTCATAATTCTAATCAGATGAGAACTAAAGGTTTTGAATGAATTGAAAACCACGTGGCTAACTTTTGAAAAAAAAAAACAAAACTTTTGCAGTCTTGGCTCTTCTAGCTTCCAGATGGAAATGCAAAAATATGGGTTGAAATACCAAGATTGAGGCCATTTGTTTTAGTGTGGGAAGCAGTGGGTGTGACTACACATGCGCTTTAATGTGCTACTGCTCATCAAAGCGTCACGTCAAAAGCAGTGCTAACATGCTAATGAGCAGCAGAAATAGGCTACTGTGCATTAAATGTCACTAAAAAGGCATGTGCTTTTGCACATTAGGGCAGCCTAATGTGCATTTATGTAGTACCTCATATTAGAGGGTGCCTGTACTCGAGCCTGGAGGCTGCTCCAACATTCTGTAACTAGATCATCACGTCTGCTGGAGCGTGATAATTACCAAGCTCCAGCCAGCCTCCGCATCTTGTGTCTCAGCATCCCTGTTCAATGAACTTTAGATAAAGCTCCCCTGATGCCATTTGGAAGGGCAAGGATGCTCTTCCCCTTCTTTGGAGCTCTTGCCCTTCTTTGGAAGGGCAAGATGCTCCAGCCAGCCTCCGCATCTTGTGTCTCAGCATCCCTGTTCAATGAACTTTAGATAAAGCTCCCCTGATGCCATTTGGAAGGGCGAGGATGAAGACCCTCTGGGCGCTTTAATTAGAGCAGCTCTCAGAGCCGCTCTTATTAAAGTGCACCCCTCCTCACTCCCAGAGCATGCGTAAAAATGCTCTAAGGTACTATACTTCATGTGCAGAAGCAAAAGCATATTAATGCATGTGTAGACACACCCACTGAGTTCTGTTCAGATTTGGTTCAGATTCTGTTTCTGCCATGTATTTAAGATCGTTTGGTCCATCTGTAAAATGCTAAAATTGGTCTATTTTCTCCAAAGTGTTTTGAGATCTGTGAATGAACATTGCTGTACAAGTGTCACATATTATTACTGCTGGATCAATTAGAATTAGAATCAGAAAATGCCATGCAAACAAGCTCTGAATTCTAGTGTTTACTTGAACATCACTTCTGAAACGTGAAAGGTTTGTCCATCACCAAAATAAGATACTTATATTTACAAGGGTTTGTTTTTTTTTCAGTGAAGAAAAATGTAACACAAAAAGGTGTGTGTGGGGAGGGGTTATCTGTGAAATCTCATGTCAAACATCCTGAAAACTAGCATAGTTAATGTAACATCTATGCTTGCTGCTTTCTACTTTTGCTCTGGAGCAGGAGCTGAAGGGAGTAGAATAAACATTGGGCCAAATCCTGATCTTTCTCAATGGGATTTTGCCATTGACTTCATTGAGATCTGGATTAATTTCAATGTTCCATTTGTATCGAGCAGACTTCAGTAGAGGAAGAACTTTTGCTCACATGGGAAAGTTTGCTGTACAAAACCATTTGAAAAATAAACAACTATGTAATAATTTGGCAGTCTTGCTCACAATGAAGTAGACCACCCTTGGAGATCAGGAAAAGAAACTGAAGCAACCAGTTAAACCAAAGGTCCAACTAAACTTTTATCTTGCCTCTTGAGAGTAGCCAATAGGAAATGCTCTAGAAGAAGGTGTAAAATCTGATATAATTAAATATTTTAAATGATGCATACTTATAAAGAAAGAAGTTTTTCCTAATCCCAGGGACTTAATGGTTGGCTTATGGCCTGATGCATGAGTGTTGCTTACTTCACCTTTACTAATATAACTGCAGATATTTTTCTTATTTATGTCTAAAGTTTTTTTTTTTTTAATTCTTCTTCTTGGCCTCAGTAAAATCTAATAGTGAATTCTATGGGTCAATGTATGCATGTTATAAGATCTTAATATCCTCTTACCATTTTAAAATAGCCTTTTAATTTTATTTACTGCCCTTTTTCTTGTGTGTTCAGAGAGGGTAAACAACATATGCCTTTATCACATCACTTATTATTTCCTTTTCAAACCAAATTGTGGTGTATAATTGTTATATATCTCAAAGGAGATCATTTCTCCATTTTTCTGTGTGCGAGTATGTGTGGGTGTGTGAGGACTGCTTTATATATACTACATTTTGAAATGAAGGTGAGTCTCCCTATCTGCTGAATGGTACAGATTTATGGCAGCTGCCATCTTGTATTTTAATACAAGTGCAGGATATTACGGAGAGTGCCACAGTGTACTCTTTTCTTCTTAGAGACCATGTTTCTTCTTTTAACCTTTTGTATTTCTTAATCTCAAATAAATAATCTAAACTGAAAAAAAATCCATGTTTTGGTTTCTGTGCTTGGGAACATACGGGCAACAAATGGATCAGGCCTGTAGTCCATCAAATCCTTTGTACTATAGCTGAGTGACTACTGCCATGTCCTTCAGCGGAAGATGACCACCTCTCCCCCCAAACCCCACCAAACCAAACCAAAATGCCCTCACATTAGGCTGTTGTGAAATAGTCTGTCCCTCAAATCTGCACCCAAATTTCTTCCTAATAACAATCCTGCCATATTGGTAGATATTTTATGTTGGACCCATGCCTAAACATTACCTTTCAGTTTTCAGTGGACTGATTTGAAGCACTTTTCCTACTTCTGTGAGAAGAAGAAAGCAATTCAACTGTGCCATAGGTATAACTGTTCTCTTCAGATGCCCTTTTTTCTTAGGATTGTTCTCTGGGCATCTTTGGAAACATTGGCTAGCTTGCTTAGGAAGAGAAACTGAGGTATTAATTGTATTAGGAGCATAATGTATATATTTCCCACATCACTGGGCACATCTAAAGAGATGCTTTATTTGAGATTAGAACTACTTACTGTGCAGTGGGCATGTGTACTCAAGATGCTACATAGCCATAGTGATAAACTACATTGCCATAGCTTGTTGCTACAACAACATAGCATCACCACGCATGAACTGTCATGCTGACGCTGCTGCATAGTAGCTGCTAAAAATAGCCACGTGGCATCAGGACTGCTCAGTAGTGCTGGTTACTGCACAGTTATTTAGTACTTGCTTAAGCCAGGCTTAAGCTTAAGCAAGTACTAAATGACTGCACAGTAACAACTGCACAGATGCTTACTGGACAATATTTTGCTCTAATTGAAAGTAAATTTTCTACCTGTAAATACAAGTAGCAAATTTACTCTTGATTACTTACAGTGCAGTAGTACACGTGTAGACACTTTACCAGGAACAAATGTGCTCCTGGTTAGCCAGGCAGCAAGGGGCGGGAGATTGCTCCATGCCTCTGGGAGCTGCCTGCTGCAAGGGTGGGTTCCACCACTGGAGCCCAGTTGGGGCTAAGTCCCCCCAACCCAGCAGCAGGGACCTCCAAACCCCTGCTTCATGACTGGGGAGTGGGGACTGGGAGATCCTCATCTCCCAGCCAGGGCCCTGTGACCATGGGATTCAGGCTGAGAGACAAAGATCTCCCAGCCCTGGCCTTGTGATTGTGGAGAAGGGGCTGGGTGCAAATTGTCCTCATCCAGCCTCTGGTGGCTGGCAGCTCCTGGGGGCAAGGAGCAATGTCCCAGCTCCCTCATCAGACA